CTTGCCTCTGGTCTGGACAAACAAAACCAAATTGATATATTATTTCTAGACTTTGAGAAAGCGTTTGACCGCGTGTCACACCGTAAGCTTCTAATCAAATTCAGGGCGATTTTGAAAAATGACTCTTTATTAGCCTGGATCGAAGCATACTTGAGCTGCAGGTACCAGTGCGTCACAGTTGGTGGAACCAACTCGCCATCCGCGCCAGTTCAATCCGGCATACCTCAGGGATCCGTCCTGGGGCCTCTTTTCTTTTTGGTTTTTATAAATGACATTGTCCGCGATATACCAGTTAAGATAAGGCTTTTCGCAGATGACTGCGTGCTTTATCAAGAAGTGAATGATCCTAGCGACCAGCTTCTTTTAAACGATTCTTTATCTAAAATTCAAGACTGGTGTACGAAATGGCAAATGAACATAAACCCCAAAAAAACTGTTGCGATGACCATAACCCTCAAAAAAGATCCTTTAAAATTCCGATACAACCTAGGCAATCACTCCTTATCATTCGTTTCGCAATATACGTACCTTGGCCTTGTAATCACATCTGATTTAAGGTGGAACGATCACATAGCTTACATTGAAAAAAAGGCTTTGAGAAAACTAGGTTATTTACGAAGGACGCTAGCTAAAGCAACCCGCGAGACTAAGCTACTCGCATATAAAACGTACGTAATACCATTACTTGAATACGCGTCGCCTGTATGGGACCCCCACACACAAGCTAACATTGATAAACTTGAATCAATACAGCGAAAATCTGTACGGTTCGTGTTTAATGCCTACCGACACGACACATCTCCATCAGCTCTTTTGGAAAGCGCTAAGCTGAAAACTTTGCAATGGAGACGTTACCATGAAAGAATGAAGTTGTTCTACCTCATATATAATGACAAGCTAGCAATTCGGAAAACCAATTACATTAAACCAATTTTGCGCCGCGAAACGCGCTCCTCCCACCCTAAAAGAATTGATGAGCTTCTCTGTCATACTAACATATATAGGTACTCCTTTTTTCCCCGCGCAATCAACGAGTGGAACAAATTGCCACCAGAGGCTCTGGAAAGTGTCGATCTGAAATCATTTCTCCGTGCGTTACCTGCTCCATCTTTCTGATAGCTACACTCCCATTTCCTTTACAGTGCCTTTGTTCTTGTGCCCATTTTAGACAAAATATTTGCCTTACAATTTGCCACGCTTGTAACTAACATGCCCGGATGTACTTTTTGAATTGTTGCTGACTATTCTTGTACTTGAACTTTTTTTTTTTTTTTTTTTTTTTTTTCACACAGCAAAACCTGCTGAGCACTACTTTCGTGCAGTTTTCAGTATAGCCTTGTATGGCACGGCAATTGTGGACTGCATTTCCAGTTTCCTTTCTATGTGAATCAACGCGTTCCTTTTTTTTGTACCACTGTATAATCTGTTCAATATTTTTTTGTACTTCCTGCATTTGTGTTCATTGTACCGCCCACCCCTGCCCAAAGTCTGGCATTCAGACTGGCAGTATTCTTCTAAATAAATAAATAAGTGCCCGCTCCCTACAGTGGAGTATAATTCGACAAGATTTGGAGGGGGCTGCCTTGCTTGGTCATGAATCAAAGTTCAATATGGTGGTGGAAAAGCTGCTAACAATAACGAGCACACCCCATTTCTAATTAAATGCTTTATTCACTAATTTGCATACATTCACTGTTTTCAGTGATTGCATACATTCACTAAAAACAGCGAATAAAATAGTGAAAACGGTGGAACGGTGTGAAATGGATGCGTATTTGATATCTCCCAAAGAAAGAAGGGGAGGGGATGCTTGCTCGGGATTTTATGGTAGTACAGTTGAACACGGATATATCAAGCTCGAAGAAGATCGCGAATTAATTCGATATATGAAAAATTCGATATAAAAAAGTAGAGGCCCCGATAGCTTACCTGTAGCGAATAATCACCTAGAATAGGCACATTCAAGAATGACAACTAATGCCACACACACGCCGCAACAGAATAATTTAATAGCATAACAGAAATTGCTAATCTTGGCCTGCGTCTTCGTTTTTGAAATCTTGAAGACGCTAGTCTCGATCCTAGCAAGGCTGTCCAGGTACAACAGCCCGGTTCCATCTATGTTGCCGATACAATGGCGATTGATGCCGAACGCTGCTGCCACTTCAGCAGCAGAGTACGCGCGTGTAGCCAGCGCCTTGTCCAGACAACCCTCCTCTTTGCAGTCCACTTCCACGAAGTCGTCTGCAGACACTTCGTGTGAAACTGCTGCCGGGAAACGAGACAACAACTCACGAAACGTGTCGTTTATGCGCTCGTCGTCGTCTTCACCGGTTTCTGCAAGTTCCACCGTCTCGAAGCTTGCCTTGCGGAAGCAGTTGACCACTGTGTCCATCTTCACGTCTCGCCAAGCATTAAAGATCTCCGCAGAAGAAAACTTCGTAAATATTTCTGGCCACTCCTTCGACATCTACAGCTGGATGTCCTGGCTGCTGACAGCTTCGCCTTTGCCAGAATTGGTTTTGCCGATAATGTTATAGCGCTGCTTAAATCGGTGAAGCCACCCGGTCTTGTCGGCGAAGTTGTTTAACTGAGTGCAGCGGCAAACCATTTGGCCTTGGCAATCAGCAGTGCCTTTTCTACATTCCCGTGGGCAGAAGCGCGCAAACGACTGCCTCTTGACGTTCGCTGCTCGCTTTAATACCTGCCTTGTTTTTCAACAAGGTACTCAAGTGCTCCGTGGTATTCCATAGTCGTCTGTGACGGTAGAACATTTCTCGCCCGCCTCAACACGCTGAAGAGCTTTCAACTTCATCGCAATGTCAATGGTCTTGCGCTTTTTGACGCTGGCCATAGCTACACGAGAAGTCCACAATTCAAGGAGTCCACAGCGGCTTTTAACACCATGCATGCAAAAGAAAAATGCTGCAAATGCGGTGGTAGGTTGGCGATGTGACAGTGGAAGCAACAAAGTGCTCGCGAGGCGGTGGCCACCTACGAGGGCAACAGCAAAAGGCGAGAGCTGTGGTTGGCTGATCAAAACTCGCAAAACAGCAATAAAAAAATATGAAAAAGGCGAAAGGAGAAGGATGTCGGCTTCTTTATTCCTGCTCTCCGAGCCGATGGGTACGCGGAGGAAGCATGAGAAAAAGAAACGAAAAAAAAAAAAAGCCATTCCGCAAGTTCGAGAGTGTACAGCATAAGCCCTCTCGCTCTTACTTTTTTTCGAACGTTTCGGGTTTTGAAGGAGACGTGGTGCGCCCCGGGGAGGTTGCCGAGCGCTGCGTGTGCCAAAGCGCGTCTTCCAACTCGTGCGCGGAGCCGCGCTGCTGCGGAGATCGCGGGGGAGGGGGGGGGCAAGTGCCAAAGCGCACCTTTCAGCTTGTGCGGCGTTGGATATATCCGAAGGTGGGTAAAAATACCATTCAATATGAACTTGCAAATTTCTATACTTTTACAAAGGAATTTCAAGGGGATAACTTGCAAGTTCGATATACCCAAAAATTCGATATATGTGGGTTCGATATGACCATGTTCGACTGTACTGCATAAAAATTAATGTAACTACATGCTTATAGAACACATGTTTTTCTTTAAGCCATGCATTTTTCTTCTTTCTTTTTGTGTAGACAATGATCAGTTGCGGACCACAGATGCGTGGTGCTTTCTCAGGCACACAAAGCGCTTGGTGAAGATCATTATTGACAGGTGATGATAGTGAAGAGAAGGAAGAAGAGAAACAACATGAGCAATAAAATTTAATATAAAAAGAGATGGAGCAGGCCCGTAGCCTGCTCCATTTTTTTTCCCCCGGCAGAACACCCCCTCCATCAAAATTTCGAGAGAGGGGGGCTAGAGCAACCCCTCTGGCTACGGGCCTAAGATAGATTGGTTGGACTATGTTTTAGGTCTTTATTATGCGACATTCTTCTTGGTTCCATAATCCTTAATTTACACCAAAATTAAAGAAAAAAAGGAGATGGAGTGCTTTGGCTTGGGCATCTTTATGTGACAGTGCCTTTTCTTTGTGTCTCTTTTCATGTGTATGTAAGTAAGGAATAAATAAGTATACTGATACTGATAAAAAAGAATGTTAGTCAATGTTAACAAGCTAATGCTGTTAACAGGAGCACATAAGCTATTGATGTTGAGAAATTGATGGCATGTACAGCCAAGCGACTTCAGTCGGCATATAAAAGTGCAGAAGACTTGCAGCGCCCCCTTGGTGTTGTGGTGAACCACAGATTGGCTCACTGATAACCCAAAGCAGCAATCCTGCTCTAAAAAAAGCTTTCACCCATGCAGATATCACGATGCGACACCTTGCTTCTACAGACGATGCTGCATGTACTAATGTTCAAAAACAGGTCACTGACCAATGTGAAAGAAAACAAATGACATTTCGAGATTATATGGATCTCTTGTTCACAAAGGAATGACGGCTTAGCAACAGGTGCTTATGTAGCATTGAGTGCATGATGCAAAGTCCGGGAGTACATGTGGTTTAGTGTGCAAGATGATCTATTGATTGTGTTAGATCATCTGGCACACTAAACCACGTGTGCTCTTTGCATCATATGCTGAACGCTACATAAGAACCTGTTGCTCAGCCGTCATTCCATTGTGAACAAGAGATCGGTACGGATCCCAAAACGTCATCTGTTTTCTTTAATATTGGTCAGTGACCTGTTTTTACAATGTCTTTACCTGACCAGACACTATTCTGTCGCACTCTCGACAATGCATGTACTAATAGTCGCCCACTCCTACTGCTGCACTTAAATCCACGTACAAGATGGCACTTCATATTTAGGCTACTACATTGTGTTAGAGAGTTTTTTTTTTTTTTCAAATTATATTTATGTCACAGTAGTTTCCAAAGTTGTGAACTTTAGCTTGACCAAACATATCACGGAGTAGCTTGCACTTAACCTACTGCACCTTTAGAAGTGAAAACTTGAGAGCTGAAATGAATAGCAGCTTTCAAGTGAAGCTCTCACCAAAGTTTGCATCAAGAAGCACAGGTGCGGCTCCACAGGCCTGAGCCATCAGATCCACATCTTTGTAAAGCCAGGTGCGGTCTGTACTTTTGTTCTTAGGACCAAGAGGTGGCCTCTAAAGTAGAGAAAGTAAAAAGCAAGAAACATATTGGTTGCACCAAATCATGCAATTAAATACAATTCGGCCACTGCATTGCTTTATCCTCGATAAAACAACTAGGAAACACCTTTCTTCTAGCACTTCACCAACCTAGCCAAAAGAAACACCTCCATGTTCCTATCTCATAAGAATGTGCTTAGGGATCCTCTGAAACCTTTTTTTCTCTAGTTTCACTTTGAAGTAATAAAAAAATATTAAACAAATATTCAAGAACGATTAGAAAAATATTTGGTTTGATTCACACTCGTACATTAATATTAAAATTTGCTGTGAACACAAATTCTTGTTATTCGCAAAGCTTTTGTAGTAATGCAAAAATGCAACTTCCTCTTCTGGCGTCCTGGCAGAGCACATTGCGCCTGAAAAAGTTGTTTCACGGTTGCATGTGTGTCTTAGTGTAGTGAAACAACCTTTTCAGGCAAGCTATATGTAGTAAACATTTCTAATCGAATTTTAAATTCAAGCCAGAACGACTGCCGAACACCATAACACTCGATCAAATATTTCGATACATCAAATATCTGCCCAAGGCTCGGCAATTCACACGATTCTTTATTGGCACCCAACTGTTCCCAACAGGACTTATGCACATGTCCACAAAGCAAGTAACTGAGAAAAATTATTAGACTTGCCTCGGCTTGCTCCTGAGTACCATTGGTATTCAAAAGGGTTTCATAGGTTTTTGCATTTCATATTATTTCTCCCACATAGATGAGACGACTCAGCGTCATTTGTGTGTGTACATTTTGACCAGTCTTGAAGGAATACTGAAGCAAAATTTTAAAATTTTGTGGAAATGCCGAAAATGAATTCTTAGTGTGTGATCACATCGAACAGAAGTTGTCACTTATCAAACTATTCAGTGGGTCTTATTTTTTAAGTTTTTGTGAGCGTACACTAAGCCGCTCAGCTAATGGAAGGTGTGATAACATGACACCCTGATGAAGTCGCCCGGCTGCAGTCTTTCGCAGTGCACAGGCTGTTACAGGAAGCTAGCAATTGGCAGCGCGAGGGCAAACTCATTGACAACTCAAAACTCATTGACACAAGTAATGCAAATGAGTTCTGCAGAGACCTGCAAGGTGGTGGAAGGGTTAAGAAAGAGAAAATAGACAACCACCTGTGTGTGGCACAAAGCCACAATGAAATTTATATGGATTCCTCATAAAAAAAAAAAAGCTTCTTAGTTGCCGAAAAATTCGTCCTGGTCCTGAGATTGAACCCGGGACTAACCCCAATTTATGGCGGTCGCTCTGCTAATTGAGCTAACCAGGAAGATAGTAGTTGGCAGTGTGAGGGCGAATTGATTGATAACTCAAAGCACATAGACACAAGTACTGGAAATGAGTTCTGCGGAGTCCCGCAAGGTGGCAGGAGCGTTAAGAAAACCACCCCTGGGTTCGATACCCAGACCAGAAAAAATTTTTAGGCAGCTAAGAAGCTTTTCTTTCTGAGAAATGCATACAGATTTTTTTGTGGCTTCATGCCACAAATCGGTGGTTATGTATTTTCCCTTTCTTAACTCTCACAGGTTTCCACAGGTCTCCTCACAGGTCTTTGCAGAACCCGTTTGCACTACATTTGTGAATGAGCTTTGAGTCGTCAATGAGTTTTCCCTTGCGTTGCCGATTGCTAGCTTTTTGGTTAGCTTAATGGGTAGAGCGACTGCCCCGAAAAAGCATTTATCTCGGGTTCGATCTCCGGACAAAGACAATTTTTCGAAAACAAAGAAGCCTTTTTTTTCTGAGAAATCTGTATGAATTTCCTTGTGGCTTTATGCCACAAACAGGTGGTTGTCTATTTTTCCTTTCTTAACCCTTCTGCCACTTTGCGAATCTGTGCAAAACGCATTTGGAAGACATGCTTTACTTCAACACAGTGGTGGCTCGCCGGCAGCATGTTGAATGCCTCGCCCAACATTAGTGCAGCATTATGTATGGATTTCTTCTGCAAATATATATAATTAATAAGGGTCGGTCTGACAGAAGTCGCAGTGTATGCGAACCTCCGAGTGGCGGTCGCTTCAGCAATTTGCAAACTTGCACTGTTGGCGCAATTCTAGCTAGCAACGTTCACTTCAAAAACTCACAAAACTTCAATAATCACCTTTTTCAGCCAAAACACATTGCAAATTCCATCACACTGGCCATTAATAAACACTTCATTTTACCAGAAAGAATGGGTGAGTGGACGCATCAATCATGAAGTGCTGACGTAGCAAGAAGCGAGTCACATGCTGCCCGTGTGTCAGAGTGTATTGCAATAAAGCAAGTCTTTTTCGCAAGTGCACATTTCAGTTGACCACAAGATTTTTTTTTTTGCACACGAAGAAATGAGGCTGAAGGTTCCCTGTGTTTGTGGCAAAATTGGGACCAGATGTTGCTGAAAGACATAACCCCTGGAGCTGTAAACTTGATGGCACAATCATAAACCACCTCCGATTACTTTTGTAGCGGAATACAGAAGGAGAATAATGCTGCTACATCGAATGACAAAAACCAACCGTTTTATTTTACGGCCCATGCGGCCCTCCTCATGCCTGCATGTATTTTATTATCGATGCTGCGTCGGCACCAGAAGCACGTAACAGGGCCCCCCGCCGTATAGTCAAAAGGAGTCGCAGACAAAAGCTGTTCATTAGACAGTCGCGTCGAACAGTGGAGAGGTGAAAGGGTTGTCAATTTCATCAGGTGGTCAAGGCTGAGAGAATCACAATAGGTGAAGGAGTAGATGTTCAGGTGCTGTGGCCATGCACAAGCGTGTCATACGATGACTTAAACGGATCAATCGAGTGTGAGCTGGCTGTTGTGAGGCGTGGCCTCTAACGCTTATAGTGGGTCGGTGTTGCTGGAGTAGATTGCTGTGTCGGCGCAACGCCAACCTCAGCAGTGTAGAACGTCTGGCTTGCTTGGATGAGTATGAAGGTCTACGGATGCGGAAACATTGGGCTGGGACAACCGTGACGCATGCTTTTTGCGTAATAAAGTGCATTGCACAGGGTGGGTCCATGGCATCACAGTCATCACAGGCCGTCGATGGTATTGAAGTTATAAAGTACGTGTATGGAATGGCAGGCGGGTGAGCTGCCTGCGCGTCCGGTAGGGCATATGTGGTCTGCTGTACCTGCGGAAAGCCGTCGTCAAGACGTAGGGAGGTAGTTGTCACCTCGTGCATCGAGAGATGTCAGGTGGTCTCCTGTACTTCTGTTCTCCTGAACAGCCATGTCACTGCTATCTGAATAACCAGGTGGCCTGGAGGAAAAGGACATCATGTTCACATCTCCTTTTCAGCCGCACGCCACTTGCAAATCGAGCAAGAACCGCCGGGTTAGAGATGCGGCGGTGCAAGAAACGTCTCAGCTGGCGTTTTCTATGGAGCGGGTGAACTTTGAAGCTTGGCAGCATCGGCACAGGAATAGAGAAGCAGAGTGGGAGTACAAAAAAAAGTGCTGCAGAAGTTATCACTCGCTTGCAGGTGCACGCACGCTGTGAGGATCGAGAACGATCAAGTGCCACGGCGGCCTCTGAGGACAGAGTTCATCACATGGCGGAAAGACCAGTAGCTTCGACGAGTTCTTGAATGGCCTCTGGTGTTGGTACACCAGATGTTGGGGCTACTTGACTGAGTTGTAGATGAACGCTGGTGTTGGCGATGGCAGGTGTGGTGGAAAAAGCAGTTAGCGTGAGGCGACACTCATTCGTGGCACATGATGAGGTCAGTGTCGTCCCGGTTGCGTCAAAACCATGCCGTGCAATGGCTGTGTGGTAACCTGCGAACTGGCTGATGTCGTAGCGCCAACATCTGGTGGGATCCAATAACTTGAGTTGGCTTGTTTGGGCAGTGACATTGTAACGGCCTGAGGTTCAAAGCTAAGGTTTAGCGCGGCAGAGAGCAAGTGATGTGGCACTCCGGGTTGTGGTAGGGCTCATATGAAACTTCGAAGTCAGTCGTATGCCTGCGGCCCAGGAGGAGGCATGACGCATCGAACAGCAGGAGGAAACATGGCTATCATGATGGCATACCTTTCCTGCTGCGAGACGATGTTGCGCAGGTAGAAACCAGCCTGCATTTTGAGGAGCTAGATGGCTGGGCTTCCTGGCCAAAATTTGGGAAATTTCGGTGCTAAAGGACGCCGGGCACCGTGGCCGTCGTATCTGGTCATCGTGCCATGGTGATAGATGGGTCAGGGTTGGTAGGCTCAATGCGAGTGTTCAGTGGAATCTTCTGGAATGTCATTCCATGGTCCAAAGTCACCACTGTAGTGGAAAGTAGATGGAGAATGATGCTGCTACATCAAAAGATAAAAACCAACCATGTTATTTCTCGCCCTGCGCGTGCCTCCTCACGCCTGCATAGACTTCATAGTCATTGCTGCGTTGGCACCAGCAGCACGCGACACTTTCAATAATTCTAAGTTTCTTGCATCCCACTTGTTATATGTTCCGTTAACTCAAAAACCCACTGAATTCCAAGACTTTTTACAGTCCTAGGACTTTTAATTAACAAGGTTTTACTGTACTTGTTTACAGAAAAACATAGCATATCAGGTTTGATTGCTTCATGCGAAGCTAGCGCACATCTTTATCAAGAGCATCTACGTGCTTGTGTAGCTCAGCGGTACGTCGTGTGCAAAAACAAGGGCCCAAAAAGACTGTTCTATTTGCTGGGTTTACTGCAATGACAGTGTCTGGGTAGGGTGCTCAACTACGTCATCGGAGTTGTCACTCTCACCACTACTTGCAGCATGACGCGGTTGGTGCAGACTTATTTGCGACGGGTGCTTTAGCTAGGTTACATCACTATATTCAACGTTGAGGCACTGTAGCACTGTAATGAGCAGTTTATTTTACCATAGAAAGCATATGAAAGTGGAAGGTGCCATTGTAGTTCATTGTTATATCCAATATAGTATTGCAATAAATGGTATCATTATCAGTGATGTGATAGACTTTAGTTGTTTTGGAGCAGATTTTCAAAGCAGCAGTAAGTGCATATTGGAGCAAAAAAAGATGATTTTGGAGCAGCCACAATGCATTTTGGAGCGGGAAAAATGGCTTTTGGATCAGCTTAAGGCTCACTGCCAAGTCGGACTCTGACCGTGTGAAGCACAGCAGTGAACTAAGAAGGAACACTTTTGAGTTTGAAGTTCTGTGCAATCATGAATGTTTGGAGATGTTTGTGTAACATCAAAGAATATTAACCCAAACTAATTTTAAACCGTCCAGTGCATTTTTTAATATGGGATGCAACCAAGTATGAATTGGTGCAGCATTCTGGTCACCAAAATAGTGTAGAAGAGCAGTTACCATTGAAGAACGAATAAATCACTATGGAAATTTCATTGAAGACTAGTAACACTGTTTCAATTTTTTAATTGAAAAAGAGTCGTCTAGTTAGTTGTCTTCTTGCCTGACATCTTGTCAAGGGCTGCAAAAAGTTGTCTTTTTCCTTCACCAAGCAAGGACTCGCACTACTGATGCGCTTGAGTGCCGATCCAGTAAGTGGTGTGAGCACGGCGGTCGCCCGAAAAGCTTCAGTTTTCAGGGGTCCCAAAAATGCTAATCTACAAGGCTTTCCTTGTGTCAGAACATTCATAGACGTTTGTGGCGATACCAAACACAACTCTAAGCACGTCTAAATCGCATCACAAAAGCTTATTAAGAGCACTCCTTATGACCGTGAAGTGCGCAGCTGCATGGACAGTCCAACCGGCGTGTGATGCACTTTGCGGCAGCGTTCATTGACGATGCGCGAAATGTGTAGCTACGATCACAAAGAAATTGGCGCCCACTGCGCTTGGCATCACATTTCCGAGTGCCAACACGCAAAACTGCTAGCGGCTATTCCGAGCAATATCTTGGCAGTGGATCAGGGGGGGGGGTGGCTGATGAGCTTGACTGTGGGGTCTGCTCGCTACCGATGCATAAAATGCCCGTTCATGGTTCCGAAGAGCTAGTAAGTGATGTGCTTCATTGCCTGCGAACAAGCACATTTCGGTGAGTGTGCTAGCGCGTTGTTCTTGCCCGCAATGTTCGTCTGGCTGTCAGCAGAGTTAGGCCTAAAGACGATTCTGGTGAAGCGCCCACTTGTAGTAATCTGATCGATCATCCACTTACAGTTCCTAACTAAAGCGTAATTATATCCTAAGTGATCGTAGAGCCATGAATGCATCACAAAGTAGCAACTTTCCACAGCCATGTCCTCACGACGCACAAGCAACAGACGACAATCTCCCGGAGTGAGCATCGGGCCAATGGCAAGGCAACACGGTGGCCGCAGCCAATCAAGGGCCTCAGAACGACCTTCAAATATTTGCTTTTTGTGCGCTTGTTTTTGAAGGGAGGAGCCGGCTCAGGTTGGAAATTTGAAAATCGAGAAATACTCTTTCTGATGAGCCCAAAAAGCCGGCTCCCGGCCGTGCCATCAAGAAGCTATTATTTTTTTTAAAATTGCTGTTTTTTGCAATTTCCAGAAATATTTCGCTACCTAGGAGGGTAAAATGAATTTTCCGAAGCACTTCTGCTTGGTTTTCAGGGTAGATATTTTGTAATCAGATAGAAGAATGGTTCCAAACACTAAAAACTTGATATTGAAAAAATAGATTTTTTTGCCATTTTTCGCAATACAAAACCAATCTCACGTTGATATTTGTGCCAAGTCTGAGTTGACCTTTGATAATGAAATACAAAGAAGTTTTAAACTGGTTGGCTAGTTCACTGCCCTACTAGCTTTCACCTGTTTCACACTGCTGTCTTCAACCTACCTGCCAAACACGATTAGCTTGGAATCTCGGACACCGGCTCGCAGCAAGCCATTCTGTCCAAGATGAATTTTCAGGGAGCCACGTTAATTTACACTAGTCTGGGGACAATTGTCTATGCCTCCCTATAAACCAGCATCCGGCTGTATTCCCCTCGTTCCCCCGGCCGGACACTCATTTTCCTCCCACGTGGCAACATTGGAAGGTCACAGGCCCCCCCTAACCGTTGTTGTGGCCAGCGACACGCTGCGCCTGTTTATTCCATAGTATTTTGTAATTAGCTACAGTTTTGGTGCAGAAAGGAGGAAATGCAGCATGGTGTAGCAGATTTCCCATCTTGGCACAATTGGCACAGCTATCGCATCACTCCGTTATAAGTGGGCTCAATTGTATTGCAGCTGCTGCTGACAGCTGCTAAGGCACTAGACACAACTGAGAATCACCGAAAAAAGATGTCTCTCGTACTTTTCTTCAAATTAAGTTGTTGTACTATTAGTCATTTCTTGTAGTTAAACTCTTGTTTTGCTACAAAACACAGCCCACAATGTTATAGTTGTTCTGCTACAAAACACTGCCCACAATGTTATCGTTCCATATCCCTTTGTGCTGTTTTATTCTTCATCTACTATGCACCAACCTGCCCAATCAAGTGCACTGCTTTCGAAAACATCTGCGAATGAAAGTGCTTATGAAACTTATTATCTTTAACTTGAGGGTTACCTGCCATTATGTCCTTACCTTCTCTGGACTGCGCACTATGCCAACCAGGTTTACCTCGCCCTCTATCTGAAAAAAAGAGGTGAAGACAGAACAACAGCATCAACATGGTTATTTTCAAGGGCTGCTGTATACCAAAAAGTGAAGCTCTAAATTCAGTAGCAGTGGTATAAAGAATGAAAACTTGAAAGTGTTCCGTCCATTTTAAAAAAGTGGCGGCCAAGCTGGTTGGATAAAGCACTGTTTACAGTCAAAAGACAGAATAAACTGATAAACTAGTCAAGACAGAGCACCAAGCACCAACTAATGTTAGCTGCTTCAAGTCTCTTTGATGCCAGTGCAAATGGAAGTTACATTGTCGCACATCTCACTAATATCGTCTTCCGAGTACCTAATGTAAAGCTGTTCTGAATTCTGCACCAGCCACATTTACCTCATCAAATCTCAGATGATTTAGGAACAAAAAAGAAGAAAGATAACAAACGGAAAGAGAACAGAGCATTTAGGTGTCGAGAGCATTTAGGTGTCGAAGATGTCAAGCTACTAATCCAGCACAGAGATGAACAATGGCCCATCAAGTGAAAGCATTTCACTATATTCCTAATTGCTCACAGCCACTAAACTTTGACTAAATCATTCAGGAAGATATACAGGAAAGGCATCAAAGTAGGTCCCACGATTGATTGATTGATTGATATGTGGGGTTTAACGTCCCAAAACCACTATATGATTATGAGAGACGCCGTAGTGGAGGGCTCCGGAAATTTAGACCACCTGGGGTTCTTTAACGTGCACCCAAATCTGAGCACACGGGCCTACAACATTTCCGCCTCCACCGGAAATGCAGCCGCCGCAGCCGGGATTCGAACCCGCGCCCTGCGGGTCAGCAGCCGAGTACCTTAGCCACTAGACCACCGCGGCGGGGCAAAAGTAGGTCCCACGGTTTCTGTGCATATATCAGGGACGAGTGTTAAAGACACAATGCCATCCTAGGCATTCATTTGTTGAGCAAGGCATTCCATTGCCTCAGTGCTAAACTACATGCACAACAAACGTCATTACTGGGCAGTTAAGGCTCTTAGTTCTGATCACTAAAGTCTTACAGTTAATGAAATTCATTAACATTCAGTTCAAGCTTCATGCTTTAACTGAATGTTAATGCTAACCGTACATGTGCACGTGACAACTACTGCTAATGGTAAGTAGACCAAGTGGACTGTAAAAACTATCTAAATGGTATTAAAGTAATAAGTTTCGTCCACTTTTTTTGCACATTTATACTACAACTACATTTAATAACGTCCCCTATATTTTACTTGGTGTCATTATCTGCCAGTTCTCATTAATACTATGTCTAACAAAGAAAACACGCCTTTAAATTTACACTTCATTCCTTCATTGATAGAGAAGATCACGTTCTGGCAAACTTGATGCCTTCAGGTACTACACGAGGGATTATTATTCAGCTGCCAGCTTATAACGAGATCACGTGGTATGTGACACCAACAAGCAAAAAATAGCGCTCCAGGCTCTCCGTTGCGGCTACTATCACCTGGTTATTTGCCATTGCATTTCCCCTGAGGAGTTCATTAAAGCCATATGCTCCAAATAACAATAATTGTAAGCTCTCATGATGAAAGACGTCATCTTAAAAAAAGTTATCTTTTCTGCATAGATAAGCTTTCACTTATACCATTAAAATGCATTTTTGTCAAGATCCAATTTTGGAAAAGTCTTGAGTTTAGATACCATGCTTTTGGTATTTCTGATAATCTAATCGAGATGAAATTTCACCCATATACTTCTTAACATGTGAAGGGTGCAAGTATCTCCTTTAAAACTTGATATCAACAGTATAATTATTGTGAACCCAAAGTGAGCAACTAGTATGAGTAGTATAGGAGGAAGATTCTAAGCATTCTCACATTACAATTTTTCTGGTCCACTAAAATTTCTTATAAGCACTTTCTTGATACTTATTTGCATTCTACAGTTAATGAGGAGCAATATGAGGCATAATTAATCGAAAATATTTAGTGGCATAAGAAGCTTGTAAAAAAAAATATACATTACACACTCTCATGGCATAACACTAAAATCATGCAGTTTACAATCAAGCTAATTGCATATTTTAAATCAGCATAAAAGAATATATATATATATACAGCAAAAAAATTAATTGCCTTACTACAGACTAATGCAACTTTTTTTCTCAGATAGCATCTCTCCTTAAATAATATATAACCTATAAAGTGGACGGAGAGATGACTGCCACAGTAGCTCAGTGATAGAGCATCAGACACATTATTCGAAAGTTGCGGGTTCAGTGCCTGTTAGTGGCAAGTTCTCTTTTTTGTCCACTTTTCTTTCTTATATTTATATTACAATCACATCTAATAAGATCTACTAGACTTTTTTTAACATCATTGTCTGTTAGTTCTCATTAAAATCAGCACAGATGACTTATATTAGGCTATTTTTCATAATATCACACAGACCAAATGCTATTGGCATAGCCAGGGGGCGGGATGGGGTGGGAAGGGATTTAAGCTTACTCTCTTGAAAATTGTAAATTTCGCAGATGCATCTGTAAGTACGCACACACAAATGCAAGCGTGAATGTCATAAAGCATGGTCAAGCCCCCTCCCCTCCTGCTGAAGAAATGTCTGGCTACGCCCCTGCATAGTGAAGTGCAGAGACATGCCACAGACAACAGTGCAATGTAATCCAGCTCTTAAAAATCTGCGTCGACTTAAAATATAAATTTATGGTCAAGTAAATCAATGCATTCAAAAGCAAATTGCACAAACAGATTCTTTGCATCAAATGTATAGAATTTCGCATAAAAAACATGCACTAAAGAGCATGCCAGTTTCTTTACTCTCAACTCCGAGCCTGCATCACTGCAGTAAGAAAGGTGTAGCAGCTGACATGATTACTCAAAAATTTACATTATTGATACTACGATAACTGAATAACCATCTACAACATGGTCTATTAAGCAGACACATTTTAGCAACTGCTCTCTTTTAGTAAGATCGGCACCATAAAGATATCTCTCATGAAACTGTATTGTTACTGACACACATCCTAATTGGACAATGTGTGCGTTGTGGCATCCAGATAACATGCACAAGAGGCATGAGGGGATTGTAAAAGCGTATTGTAAATGACAGGAGCAACGACAGAGGCAAACAGGATTTACTAATTCTCCTGAGAGGGTGCTGGCTGCTCAAGCTCAGTAGTGCCACCTGGCTGAGGTAAAGTTCCCTATGCCGATTTGGTTCCATTCTTGTAATGCATATGTGAATTTTTTCACCCTTGGTTTGACTTGGCTTGGCGATGTGCTTATGGTAGGGAGATGCTACGAATGACCGGCTACAATGTACACAGCACGCAGTATTAATAGAACGCTTTGTTAACACTGTCTACTGTCTGTGCTTCATAGTATATCTCCCTGCCTTATGTGCATCACCAAGCCAACGTGAGCCAACTAGCCCCTTTCGTCGCATTATTGGCTAGAGTTACCTGAAATACCCAGCATAAGAAACACACATACACAAATACAAAATATGTTACTGAAACACGACAATATTTTTGTACAAGCTCATAAGAATATTAATAAATAAGAAAATACACGACAATGATCCTCTACATACCTGCCCTTGTAGCCGCTTTTGGGGAGCCAATGCAGACATAGGGACCCAGCCACGATTCACAAGGATTGAAAAGCTTTAAGGCAAAAACAAACAGAGAAATCTAGATCAATAGGAGGAGAGAGGGGCCTTATTAAGAGAAAAAGACCGGAGTGTGAAAAAGCTGGAGAGGTAAATTTGATGTGTTTCCGCCCTGTTATCCCCCGAAAGGGGGCATGACAGGGCTCGTGGTCAGATGGAGGGTTGGAAAAATAGTTATGATAATAGGAGAAACAAACAATATACTGTTTCATCAAATCCATGGCTGCATATTTCACGCCACATGTACAGTGACCAATACTGGTTGGAGCTTGTGAAGCATAACCAAAAGACCACAGTGTGCATAATTTAAACATCCCTTGCTGCCACAGACATCATCTGAACAGTTAGGCAGCAGCTCAAAGGCGTCAGTTATTCCTTGTCACCAGCCTTGATGATCAAGTTTAAGGACAATGTCGCAATGCACTGTTACACTTTGTGTCAATTTTCAAAACTGTGTATTTCTGGTGGTATGCACGTCCAGGAGCTAAATCACTAAATCACTTGTCTTTCGCTATTGAAAAAAAATTACAACATGAGGTGAATGATGACAAGTGGTGCGAAGTGAATGGACAGACGCATGGAACCATGGACGGACTGACGGACGCTTTGCCCCACTCATCATCATTCACTCCGTGGACATGCGGTGACATGGTTTTTATTAACATGCAATGCAATGCAACTCTACGACGACTACGATGACACGGGACATACGACCCACAGCGTAAGGAGCTTCGCCCCTACAACAACTTTCCGTAAACAGTGGATGTGAACAGGCATTTGTAAATAGAAGAAACCAGACAGAAGTAACACTGCCAAAAAGCCCGTCCGCCCGCCCGCCCGCCCGTCCACCCGCCCGTTCAATCTGTAGCGGGCGATGATACCGGTGATCGCGATAATTTTATTTTTGTGCGCTTACCAATTCATATGCCGAGGTGCACGGCGCAGATGCGGCCAACATGCCTCATGTTATCTCCGGCGGGCCGCGGAAGATACGCAGCCACGCCCCTTTTGGTTGTCGCTTTCGAAGCCCGTTTTTCTTGGAAAAATAAACTAGTCTTGTCCCAAACATTAAGGAGTGTAGGTGCCTTCTTTTCGCGCCTCCGTGGGGCGAGCCTGCTACAAAGTGGTGACCCGGGCGTGATGGAAAAACAGCAGCCATATCAGACGAGGAAGGCACTTTAAGCTCACCTACAACCAACGCCTCGGAGTTAAAGCTTCCTCATTTCTGGCCCAAAAACCCCAAAAACCTTAGGTGTGGTCGGCCAAATCGAGGCCCGCTTCGAGCTTCGACGCATCACATCGCAGCAGTCGAAATACCTGCACGTCATTTCAGCCCTACCACCTGACATCGCTGACGCCGTAGACAATGTGCTCGCCTCCACTCCATCGGAGAAGCCCTATGACGAACTAAAAAGCACCGTCCTGAAACGTCTTGAGTGTCCGAACAGAGCAGGCTGCAACAACTCCTGTATCATGAAGAGCTCGGTGACCAGCGTCCCTCACAACTACTCCACCGAATGCGTCAGCTGCTGGGCCCACAAGCGTCAGAAGAGCCTCAACATCCATTGCTTCGCGAGTTGTTTTTGCAGAGACTGCCACAGTCAACACGGATGATACTCGCTGGCTCGAATGACGTGACTCTCGAGGGTCTGGCTCAACTCGCCGACTGCATTTAGCTACCAAAAATGTCTATTGCTGCAATGAGAAGGCCCGAACATGCAGACCAGTTAGGTCACTTAGAGGACAGAGTTGACCGACTGGCTGCAGCAGTTGAAAACCTCGCCCTGTCCAACAAACACTGGCCTGCACGGCATCGTTCGCCGTCTCGTGCTCGAAGCCCGCAGCACCGCGGACACTCAGGCGAGGCAGAGCAGAACATCTGCTGGTATTACCGTCGTTTTAGAGAGCAAGCCACTCGCTGCACCCATCCATGCTCGTGGACGGGAAACGCACCGGCCAGTCGCTAACAGCGGAAAGCGACACGGGCCATCGTTCAAGCCGCCTCTTCTTCGTTGTCGACCGCATCACTGGCACATGCTTTCTTGTTGATACCGCAGCGGAGCTATCTATCCTGCCAGCAGTAGCTCAAAATCGCCGGGCGGCAAGTCCATTTCGAGCCTAATTGCAGTTAATAATACTGCCATTGCATCATATGGAGTCCAGTCAATGACGATAGACATCGGACTCAGGCGTACATATCGATGGCTCTTCGTTGTGGCCAACGTCAGAATTGCCATCCTGGGAGCGGACTTTGAGAGCCACTTCGATCTTGACGTCAGCGTTCGCGATTGTCGTCTCAAGGATAACGACACTTCGCTCGCTGTTATCGGACTGAAGTCTGACCTGTCCTCATGCAGCATTTGCACTTTCAACCCAGAGTCAAACTTTCAAAAGATTCTGGCTGAATTCCCTGAAATCACCAGACCTTGGAACACCAAACTGCCAATCAAACACAAGGTGACGCATCACATTGTCACCACCGGACCGCCCGTCACCACTAGACCTAGGAGACTCGCTGGACAAAAACACGAAGTTGCTCGCCGTGAGTTTGACCACATGCTCCAACTCGGCATTATTCGACCTTCGTCCAGCAACTGGTCTTCCGCGCTGCACATGGTGCCAAAACAAGAGTCTGGTGACTGGCGGCCTTGTGGGATTATCGGGCACTCAATGCTGTGACAACGGCAGACCAATATCCTCTCCCCCACATCCATGATTTCAGCGCTCGCCTCGCAGGAACGACCATCTTCACTAAGCTGGATCTGATGGCCGCTTATCACCAGATTCCAGTAGAATCAAGCGAAATCCCAAAGACGGCCTTGACAACGCCTTTTGGCCTCTTTGAATTTGTTCGTATGCCATACGAACTGAAGAACGCGGCACAAACTTTCCAGCGTTTCATGAATGCGGTCACTCGCGGACTGCTCTTTGTTTTTGTCTACTTAGATGACATTTTGGTCGCCAGCGAAGTGCCGGAAGAGCATAAAAATCACCTGCGCCTTCTCTTCAAGCATCTTGACGAGCACAGTCTGGTTTTGAAGCCCCAAAAGTGCATCTTTGGTGTTGAAGCACTAGATTTCCTACGTCATCGAATCAGCCCGCAAGGCATCTTGCCACTCGAATCACGGGTGCAAGCAGTCAGGGAATTTCCCACGCCTACTTCTTTCCGCAAGTTGCCCGAGTTTCTTGGGAAACTTTCATAGGCACTTCATCTCATCCTGTGCACACATTCTACAGTCACTAACTGACTTGCTGCGCCGGGACGGCAAGAAAACGCCGAAGTTTCACTGGTCAGCGGAGCACGAAAAAGCCTTCCAGGACGCGAAAACTCAGCTTGCCTCCGCAACACTTCTGATGCACCCGCTTTCCGATGCGCCAACGGGGCTCATGGCTGACGCTTCAACGACGGTAGTGGGAGTAGTGTTGTAAAAATACGATGGCAAGAACTGGAAACCGATAGGTTTCTTTTTTAAACATCTGAAACAGACGAAAGTGCGCTACAGCACTTTTGGAAGAGAGATGCTGGTGATTTATTCCTCCGTAAAGCATTTCTGTTTCTTCCTAGAAGGCCGCATTTTCCACATTTTAATGGACCACAAGCCGCTGATGTATGCGTTCAAGAACAGTTCCTCATATTCGGAAAGAGAACTGCGCCAACTTTCTTTCATTTCCGAATTTTCCACGGACATCTGCCACATAGCGGGGAGCAAAAACCAAGCAGCTGACGCACTCTCCCGTATCGACACCGTTTCAGCGTCCGTCGACTTTGAGACATTGGCCACCACCCAGCGAGAAGACCCAGAGCTAACCGAGATGAGGCAGAATCCATTGTCACTGGTGCTCGAAGGGATCCCGCTACCATACACAACAACTATGGTGACATACGACACATCGCAGAAATTTCCAAGACCATTCAACCCCGTCCAGTTTCGGCGTGCAGTGTTTGACAGCCTTCACGACCTCAGCCACTCAGGAATCCGCGCGACGCAGAGGCTCGTCACTGACCGCTTTGTGTGGCTCGGAATTAACACCGACGTTCGATGCTGGGCGAAGACGTGCTGGACATGTCAAACAGTCAAGGTGACTCTTCACACGCGCACAGGACTCCAAGCATTTCGGCCACCAGAGTGTCGTTTCGACCATGTGCACTTGGACTTGGTGGGAGCTCTTCCTCCTTCCCAGGGTTACAGATACCTGCTCACTTGTGTCGACCGCTACTCATCGTGGCCCGAGGCGACGCCGATTCTGGACATCGCAGCCGGGACCGTCGCACAGGTGTTTGTGGCCACGTGGGTTTCACGCTATGGCTGCCCACTGCGCATAACGACAGATCGTGGACGACAATTCCAGAGCAACCTATTCTGTGCGCTGGCAAGGCTTCTGGGAACACGGCTCCAGTGCACCACGGCTTACCATCCAGCGAGCAATGGAATGGTGGAGCGGCTACACTGTCAAGTGAAGGCATCTTTAACGGCCAAATTGAATAGAGAGCACTGGGTGGAGAAGCTCTCTCTTGTTCTTCTGGGCCTGTGTACGGCCATGAAAGAAGACCTCGGATTCTGTGCAGCAGAAATGCTGTACGGCTCTACAATCCGACTACCGAGAGAATTCTTCAGTGAGAAACCAAGCGCTACGCCGACACCTTCAGAACATATGGAAAGGCTACATTCTTAGTTGGAGCACCTGCAACCCAGCGCGCTAAAAGTCAGCCGCAACCAGAGTGTTTTCTTTCCCAGACATGAATGAGGCAACCCATGTGTTCGTGCAACGTGACACAGTGAAAGCGCCGTTGACTCCGGCGTACGATGGGCTCTTCCGTGTGCTTTCGCGGTCGCACAAAACTGTGACCATTCGTGTTCGCGACAGAGAGGACGTCGTTTCTCTCGATCGTGTGAAACCAGCTCACCTCATGGACTAACTCGCAAATTTGCTCGTTTTTTTCCCCTTTTTTCCAGGCTCCGCGGTCTAGGGGAGGACCCCTTGCAGCGGGCGCGA